TGGCGGAAGTCAGAATTCAAGAACCATTGGATCGGGTCCCAGTGGCTCAACGGTCTACGAGCTCGCCTTGCAACCAGAAGGTCCTTGATTCGAATCTTGTCGGTGGGTGCGTACTGCTGAAGAGTCCCAAACTAGGACGTAGGAAACAGCTGTCCAGTACTCCCAGTTGGTTTTACAGTGGTTCTCTAACTGATGTCAGCTCATGGTGAAATCCTCCATGCAATCAAACAAAATCCCTGCCAAATCAACACTTGTAAATAAATGTGAGTAATGATTTTACAGTCTTTTAGGAATATATTCCCAGTTTATTTCCTCTAAGCTCTTACATCCACTTTTCGCATTTCTTAACTTAATTGTATTCACTTTATAGTGTCTTAAATATTGTCACATGCGCCTCATTGAATTGTTCGAAAGAGGAATCCTGTGATCTATTGTTTTACCCCCACTTGTTTGTTCTCTCTTTCTTCTTTCTTTCTCTTCAAATACAATGCTGCAGTATTGTCTCATTTTTTTTGTCATGGGAATAAAGTATATCTTTCTTCAAGTAGCCTGAATTGAATGCTGAAACAAATTCTCTAATTCTGTTTTCTTCTTGTGTTTTTTTTCTGGAATGTTTTTTTGCACGTTCATCTTTCTTCTGTTATTATTACCCTCAAGAATCTGATGAATATGTACTTGTTATGTACTCGTCGAGTAGTTAAAAGTCCTGACGCGGAAAGAGGGAAATCAGAAGACCAGCAGGTTTACGATGGTACTTGTATTTTCCAGACAAGGAAAATAAATGTCACACTAGTGTGTGAGTGAAATGGTACGTAATGTACGGAAAAGTGTGTGTACAAGAATGATAAAGTGTACAAAGCAAGCGTATATATGAAAATGGCTGATACACATGAACCAATAAGATAACATATTTCCATGATTGGTTGTAATGTCACGTGATAACAAGGTCATACATGTTTTATTTAGTTAGTGGACAGACAAAAGCATATTGTCAGTTATAATGAAATATCGATCCATATACACATGGCGAAATATAATAGACTGTAAAAAAACAAAACACACATCATGCGAATACATATCAGTACTTGAGCATGTGCATATATATTCCTGTTTTAGGAAATATCGATAAAAAATGTGATAGAAAGCAAATCATTAAACTATAATTTTTATTTTGATGTATTTTCTTCATATTCTATTTTTCTTATTTACTATTATTAGTATTCATAGAAATAATGATGCCCCATAGTGCCCAAGTTTTATACTTATATAAATAATGATGCTAACTGTAAACTACAATTTAGTTATTTGTGATTAGGAAAACCAGAATTAAATATAGTGATATTAAGAATTTGACCAAACAAATAGAGAACAAACGAACTTGGAAAGTGTTGATTAATAATAGTAGTAATAATAATAATAATAATAATAATAGTAATAATGATAAAATTTTCACTGCTCAAACAATGATAGCATTGTTTTGATAGTAAATACTTGACTTATATAAATGTAGTGAATTTTATTATGCTAGGAAGCTGCTTTAATGATACATGTATACATATATGTGTGCATCGGTGGCACACTGGTTATAACTCGCGCCGACCATGCATATGGTCCGAGATTCGATCTCCTGCCGACGCACATCTGATATCAATGGTCGGCCTGCAAAATTTGGGCTACCGATATCCCATACTGAAAATTCCACACTTGTACCGAAAATACGGTGTGGAATCAAACCATAATAAATATACATGTATATATATATATATATATATATATATATATATATATATATATATATTCTTGTCAGCCATGCATATGGTTTGGGTTTGATTTGCAGTCAACGTACTCTTAAGGTTTGTCTAGTTTAAAAGCCGGAAAAATTGGGGGTTGTGCATGAGACCAGCAGTCAACCTTCGTAAAAACAACATCATTGCTACTAAACCTTGAAAATTTTCAAAAGAAGGGATACTGAACAAGGAATACTCTTTTCGATAGCCCATTTATCATCAGGCTCTACATTTATACATACATTATAGTGAATGAATGAATTAGTGTTATGGACAACAATAATGTTGTTTAAATAACATCAAATCAATAATATTGATCGCTTACAACTCAATAGCATCAGAATAAAATAAGCTGAATGTCAGAAGAATTAGGAAGGATAATATTACAATATCATGAGTTTATAGCTTCTACTGAAGGCCAGGGCAATAGTAGGGGCTGGATTTGCTTCTTTTGTACACAGAGTGCTGGTTGTTTTAGGCGAATCGCAATAGCCTCTGCTGTTTGGAGCCTGTGGTGCTTCGATGCTTTTGGTAATTTATTTGGCACCCGGTATAATATAGAGAAGGATTCATCTATGCTGGCTTTGTGTCCTGTTTTCACCAAATGTTCCAATATCGAGCTGTTAATAGTTTTCACTACACCTTTACTTAGCCATGCTGGGAGATGTTCTCGAGCACGAAAAATCAAGTTCCTAGAGCAATGGCCAATATAACTGGCTCCACAAGTGCAGTTGAATTGATAGATACAATTAGAAGTGGCTAGTCTAGGTACTTCATCTTTCAGTTGAGGAATCACCATCGGTCGTGTAGAGAATAAGACGTGTAGTTCGCCAGCAGTAAAAGTTCTTTGAACTGATTTTTTTAATTTCTTCGCAACTATCTCGCCTGGTATATCGCCCGTGAATTGTAGTCGTATATGAAGAGGCTTCTTTTTTACAGATAGTCATAGTGATTGTAATATTATCCTTCCTAATTCTTCTGACATTCAGCTTATTTTATTCTGATGCTATTGAGTTGTAAGCGATTAATATTAGTGATTTGATGTTATTTAAACAACATTAATGTTGTCCATAACACTAATTCATTCATTCACTATAATGTATGTATAAATGTAGAGCCTGATGATAAAGGGGCTATCGAAAAGAGTATTCCTTGTTCAGTATCCCTTCTTTTGAAAACTTGAAAAATGGAAGCCAAAACCACAAAGGAGTTATATATAGGATGTTTTTAACTTGGCACCTCAGTGAATTTTACTCCATGTTAGGTGATTGAAAAATTCGAATCAATAAGCAACTCGAAATGTAATTCCACTGGTCGGCATGCGCAAGGCTTATCTGTATCCTTTTAGTAATGAATATCACACGTGGATATCATCTGAAATATTGACGTTTGCAGACATTTTAACACTCAATTGACAGTTTGTTATGTTCTAACATAGATGACAGTTTGACGTGTTTTTTTTTCAGACTCATTAAGAACAGGAATTTCCTGTTAATCGTATTACAGCTAAATTGTATTTCTATCATGGTTATTTGCGAAAGTGATCTTAATCTAAGGTTAAGCTTAGGATATTCAGTGCTCAGATTATGAATCCATGTTCCACTGGCGAATCAGTCAAGACAAGTTACTCAACAACCAATAGAAATTTAGTTCAGTTGACCATGAACTACACCTGTTTTGCCGTAAATGTAATGGGATTCAAATCCCTAACTCACTAGACCAGTAAGCCATAGACAGATTCATTGGCAAATAGATTTGTCACCTTGCGAATAGCTGATTCTTTGATTTAAACTACTTTTCACCTATGATATATAGTAACGGAAAAATATTTTATTTACTATCATCAACGAGATTGCTTAATCATTAACTGATTTATGTGCATGAATGAATGCGTGACAATACAGCACGACGTTCTCTTTCTCCTTATTCTTCTTCTTCCTGTCCCTTCACAATTTAATTCAAAGGAAGTTATTATTTTACGCAGAGATAACTATTATTGTTATTCTTGAGGTTGTTTTCGCTTTCGCTTTCGTTTTTTTCTTTTCAACTTGATTAGTGCGTTATTTTGTATTATTTTTATTTGTTTGCTTGCTTCACAAAACGTGTCCATCCAACCATACACACATGCATATATATATATTGGTTTATTTTCACAGCTTCATTCCCTTATTTGTTTTTTCCCCACTGTTGCATCATTTCCACTGAATTGTTATTTATTTAGTTTTCAAGTATTAATTTTGTTTGTTTGTTTGTATGGAGGATTTCACCATGAGCTGACATCAGTTAGAGAACCACTGTAAAACCAACTGGGAGTACTGGACAGCTGTTTCCTACGTCCTAGTTTGGGACTCTTCAGCAGTACGCACCCACCGACAAGATTCGAATCAAGGAGAATCAAGGCGAGCTCGTAGACCGTTGAGCCACTGGGACCCGATCCAATGGTTCTTGAATTCTGACTTCTGCCAGTTCACGACATAGCGCGACCACTTCGCAATGTCTTCTTCGATGAGTTACTGGCTCATCTGCGACCTGCTGTATCCTACCGGTCACGGCTACCCAGTAGAACCCCAGGTTAACTGCCTGAATAGGGTCAGGTTTTCCAGTGGTTCTCTAACTGATGTCAGCTCATGGTGAAATCCGCCATACAAATTATTTAGTTGTTCTTATTTTTCTTTCTCTAAATGAAGCAAATATAATATGCATTTTGTTCTGTGATTGCTTGTCTGTTTGGCCTATTTTGTCTCTACACCTTTGAAATCGTCCATGTAATGATAATAATGCTATGATAATAATATAATAATGATTCATTTATTGCTTGTCGCTTGCCGAATATTCTTTTTTTCTCTTTCTCTTTTTTATTTTCTGTTTGCACAATGTGAATGTCACAATCTCATAATACATCTCATGTTAAAATCATTCCATCTATAATATAAATGATCTCACATACAACAACAACAAAAAATATCAATTTCTTTGGCTGTCACTACAACTATTCATCATGTGATACGAATGATATGTGCGCGTACGCACACACACACACACACTGTGCGCTATGCATCTATCTTACGATCCTCTTGTGTAAAAAAAATAATCATCGCGTCTACTACTGCTACGATAACTGGATGTCATCATCACATTGATATTGACCAACTCCTCCTCATGACGACGTTATGCGAAATTTAATCTTTGATTTATGTTTAAACTCCCTCCTAGAAAGCCTAGGCTCTTCAAAAGGTAATGAAAGAGATGTTTCCTTGAATATATATATATATATACATATGTGTGTAATTTAATTGTATTTTCATATATATACATATATATTATTTTATCATTGAATGTGCTTGCAGTTTGTTTTGCATTATTACATCTGAATTGGCTTTGATTGAATAAATTATTGTTTCATGTAAGACCTTTCGATATTTGTTTGTTTCGATTTCTATTTTATTTGAAATAGTTGATTGCTTACCTGTTTTTTCAGTTTGCCTCGTGATATTTCCTCTCTGAGGTTGAGTAGATTAATTAAATCTACGACTTTTTATGAAGTAATTGAGCTTCTGTTTTCCTAGTTCAAATTTTCATTGACTCACCCCTTACTTTCAAGTATTGGTTTTTGTAGGGATTTAATTTGATTGGTTAGAGGATTACATCATGAGCTGACATCAGTTAGAGAACCATTGGAAACCCTGGGAAGACTGGACAGCTGTTTCGTCCAACTAGTTTGGGACTCTTCAATAGTACACACCTACCGGGGTTCGAACCGAGTGCTTGGTTACAAGACCAGCGAGCTCGTAGACCACTAAGCCACTGGGACCTGATCCAATGGCTAATGACCTTGTCATGTGACCATAAGGTCCTGGGTTCGAACCTCCGTGGGTGTGTACCACTGAAGAGTTCAAAACTAGAATGAAACAACTGTCTAGTACTCCCAGGGTTTCCAATGGTTCTCTAACCGATGTCATCTCTCATGATGAAATCCTCCAACCAATCACTTCTTTATACCTGAAAATTCCTTGTACTAGTGCTTACCTCTAGACTGAATAATGATGGTAGTCTATAAACACTCGTCTAAGAAAAGTTTGCCACTTAAATTTTGATAGGTCTTTTTATGTCATTGGATTTATTTATGTTTCATAATCGTTATTGAGATTATTCAACATAGAATTAGTTTAAATGAATGGCAATGTTTTGAAATGTGTATTTCATTCGCCACATTCATAAGCTTTCTCGATGTTGAATTTCAACGTCTGATAGAAAAAAATATTCATTTGAAATTCCATCATTTAATATATGAGTATGTTGATTGGAACAGAAAAATGTTCGAATTCTTTAATGTCAACTGAATTGTATACATAATTCTTCAAAGCTATAAGCTTGCTCTTCCTAGTATTAAAATAACCTACAGTATTTGAATTGAAGGTGATACTGAAATATATCAATTCCAGTTACTGGAACATTAAAGCTTTCTTCTAGATAGCTGATGAATGGATTATCAGTGTTTCCTACTAGCTGTGATCATCTGTTCACGATATGGAGCTTAGTGATTATTGACCATGCATATGATATATACCTTTGCGTTCCAAGGGAAACATATGGCTTCAAGCTTGAGCTTTGAAGATTCTGTACCAAGTGTGTTGCTTTTACATAGTAAGGTTGCTAGGCACACGCCCAACCTTGCCTCTTTACCGTCCCTACTATATATACACTGAGGCATTTTTAGAAGTGCATCAATCTGATGTTAGACGCAAACCATGTGCGTGGTTCGTAAGCATCCCATCACTGAATCATCAACGCACACATGAGCACTTTTCAGAATGTTTTACCCTTTAAACACTGTACTTATTTATACATAACTTCTTTTCCCCATGTTATTCATATTAATCATGCATTTTGGGTAATTTCATTAGTCTGCATTCTTCACATCATTATTTGGAAGTTCTCATCAATTGAGGGCATTAATCACAATAATTGTGGAAGTTTTGTCTTTGGACAATTCAATAGAAACTTGAAATCAATATAAATCTGCTAGGTGTTAATTACAAAACTATTTTATCGCTTCATTTTATTATCTTTCATGCATTGAACTTTTAAGTAACATCCTCAATGTTGTTATTCATATTTATTTTTGAAGTTGAAAGTTTTTTATAATGAATAATAGTAACTTTAGCGCGATCAGCAGACGATTTCTTCTGAAAATATTTATTCTCACTCCGGACTAGGTGGACCCTGATGGCTATGACTTCTCATTAGAAGAAATACAGGCAATTTCGTCCCGCAGCCAGTGATTAGCGGGCATCAGATTAACTTTTATAAGTGAGTTTGTGGGGATTCAATTTGTTTCAAGTTTGGCCATGGATTGGTATTGGTTAGAAAATCAGTGGAAACCAGGGAGTACCGGAAAGCTGTTTCGTCCTGGTTTTGGACTCATCGACCCACAGAGACACTGATTCGAGTCTCAATGGCTGAATGGTGTACGACCTAGCCTTTTAACCATACGTTCCAGGGTTCAAAACCTAGTGGTTGCGCACCGTTGATGAGTACCGAACTGGGACGAAAAAGATGTCCAATACTCTCTGGTTTCCAGTGGTTCTGTAACTGATATCAGTCCACAACCAAATTTGAAACAAATCAAATCCCTAAAAATAAACAACTCACGAAAGATAATAGTAGTGACAGATTCTTCATGATCAAGTTGTAAATTACGCTTTTCCCACTTGACTCGTAATAACTGGAACTTTTTTAAAAGATTGTAATTTTTTGATGTGATTACTTGCAATCGAATGCTTCTAAGCCTAGTAATTTTATTGTTGAATGATTTTCCATTGACATCAAAAGTAAACATCCTCAATACCTTAGTGGCTTAGTTGTTAGTCACTTGTCATTAAATGCTGTTTTGTTCCATTTTTCAGCTTGTGCTTTAGGCACATTATAAATTCATGTCTAGATTTTAATTTAATTCATACATGTATGAGGATAGTCTAATGAGGAAAAAATTATCTTGTTATGTATAATGTCAAATTGTTATCATGTTTTTGTGTAAGTTAGTAGGTATAGTAGAACCTACATCTTCACATAATTGGATACTTCATAATGCCTATATATATATATATATATATATATATATATATATATATATATATATATATATATGACTCTATGTGGTCAGTACAAACATTATATTTTCATTCATTCGCTATTCTTTTAATTAATAGCTGATCCACCCCGTAAACGGATAGACAGTTTAAAGCTCACATTGAATGGTTCATCGCGCTTATCTCTTGGCAATTTAAGTGAAGGTTCTCCATTATCTGGTCGCCGGGGTTTAGCTGTACAAAAGTTGTAAGTATGAATAATATTATTGTAGATTTAATTAGATTATTTTCTATTTTTGTTTTATTGTTCCATTATAACTTTTATTGAATATTGCATTTTGTTTGTTTGAAATAACTGTTGTACAAGAAATAACGAGTGTTTAGGGATGAAGTTATTATGTTTTGAATTTATAATCTTTAATTCTCAATATTACTGAGATTTCTCCATTAAGAAATGTTGAGAATACATTGAAAGTGGCGCTGTTATTTAAATGGATTACTAAACCTTTTTAAGAAATACTGTCTAAAGTTTTTCGTCGGGTGTTTTTTTTTGTTTTTTCGAGTCTTATTGCGTTAAAACAACAATTAGTGTTTTCAAGTATTGGTTTGTAGGGATTTGGTTCACCAGAAGGTCCTGGGTTCGAATCCTGGTGGGTGTGTGCTGATGAAGAGTCCCAAACTAGGACGTAGGAAACAGCTGTCCAGTACTCCCAGCTGGTTTTACAGTGGTTCTCTAACCGATGTCAGCTCATGATGAAATCCTGTTAACCAATTAGTGTTTTCTTTTCTCTAAGGAATTCGAGGAAATTGTATATAATATATTGACTTCCTGTTTCTAACTTTTGTGAACATTGTAGTGTTTGTTATTTATTTCATTATATCATTGGAGGGTTTCTTGTGTGTGTGTGTGTGTGTTCAGTAGATTAGCGAAATAGAACCGCCATCTGCATATATTGTCTTTAGTATGTAATTTTGTTTACTCCCAACTTGATGGTTTTCATCGGTTACAAATTCTCATCAGAAACTTAGGGAATCTGTGTTGATAATTAGATCAAGCACTTATCATCTATGGGTGTGTTTTACCAGTAGTAAGTCTCCAAATGCAGTAAATCTCTGACCATCTACCATCTAGTCGTTTTTCATTCCTCTTAACCTATCGTAATGTGAAATATACACAGAAATTCATAAAAAACGCATACAAATACTGTTTCTAATTAATGTGTGAGTTTTTTTTCATCAACTTATTTTTCATTCCCTTTTTTTCCCGTGAAGATGAATTGATAACTTCATTTATCCATTTTTATGATAAATTTATTATGCACACGTTAAGTTACACTATTTTAAGTGTATCGTTTTTGGTTTCTGCTAAAATAATGTCTAGACGTTTCACTTTCCCTTCCTCTTCTTCTTCTTTCTTCCTACACGGCATAATATCACTACAGCAGTGTATTCGTCAGTTAAGTGTGTATTTTAGTCATAATAATAATAATAATAATAGCAATATTCACTATTGATTATGTGGTTTTTTTTTGAAAATTTTAGTAATAACAATAATAACATCACTTTTCTATACTGTATGTCAATTTTATAATTATCTCATTTATAAAGGTCTTTGTGTATATATGCAAAGAGGGGTGAATTTTTTTCTGGATTTGTATATATATATATATATATATATGGGCGTAACACTCTTAAAAGTGCTACCTTTTCCTGTCTAGAAGTCATATATCTTAACTTTCCTTCTTCTTTTCTGTTCATTTCCATTCCTTTTTTTGTGTAAGGCATTTACCTGTCTATCCTTTAGCATTAGTGTTTCATGACTAAACTATTGCAGTACAATCAATCAATAATTTGTGCAGGTTGTGTGTTTTTTAATTTCCCAGCTTCTCTTGGTGTTTATGTTATATTTTTCATATACTCTACTATAATGCTTATATATATATATGAAGAGATGAACTATAAGGATTTTTGTATATTCCTAACGAAAATATTCTAATCCATCTGTAGTATTCAAAACTGTAGTCCACTAATGATGTTTTTGTTGTTGTTGTTGCTGTCTTAATTACCTAGAATTATGATCTTATCACTTATTAATCTCTGTCGGCAAGTATGCGTTGCTTATTATTTTTAGTATTATTATTATCATCATCATCAATGAATTGCCTACTGCCATATGGAAATATGGCTCTTTGGTTTAAGCACTTGACTTTCAGTTACTGGGTTACAGGGTTCGAACCCCGTTCCACTTACATCAGCCTGAGTGACTAGGTACTATCATCACCATCTTCATATATATAATAAGTGTGGTGCATAACCTGGTACATGTAAAGTGTGTTCTGGGTAATTGAGTTCTAGCTAACTACAGTTGATCATATCTTCACCCTTCGACAGATTTTAGAATATAGGAATTCCTACCGGCGTCCAACAGTCATTATATTTCTTGACCTAAAGGCGGAATTCGATTCTGTCGACCGAGAGGTACTGCGGCGATGCTTGGTTGTAAAGCGAATGCCGAGAAAATAAATTGCACTGATTAAGGCACTCTACTCGAACTCATACAGCCAGGTGAGGGCTTACGGCGAGTTGTCATCTGAACTGGTGACGACTAGTGGTGTCCGTCAAGGATGCCCATTATCCCCATTTCTGTTCAACTTCATCATAGATGTACTAATGGACTTAACCCTAAGTGACTTCAGCGACTCAGGGATTGACTTGTTACCAGCGAGGGAATAATCTCGTTGACTTAGAATATGCAGATGATATAGTCCTACTAGGCGAGGACGCTTACAAAATGCAGAGTCTTCTAAACACCTTGAGCAGCAATCTACGAATGTTTGGCATGTGATTCGCTCCCGCAAAAAAAGATGACATTAAAGGACTGGACTACACCGACTCCTAGGTTAGAGATAGGGAGTGAAGTGGTAGAGCACGTTGACCGCTTCACTTATTTGGGAAGTACCATCAGCCCCAACGGGCTGATCTCTGACAAAATCTCAGCACGGATACAGAGGGCTAGTTTCGCGTATGCCAGTTTACGCCGTCTCTGGCGTAGACGTGATATCCGGCTGGCTGTCGATCAAAGGGCGGGTGTACTGCTCAACAGTCCTCTCCATCCTCCTTTATGGCTGTGAGTGAGACCCGGTCATTGACAGTGGAAGACATGAAAAGATTAGCTGTCTTTGATCATAGGTGCCTGCGTTCTATCTCCCGTGTGAAGTGGCATAATAAGCTGAGCAATATTGAGGTTGGGCGTCGAGTTCTAGGTAAACAGGGGAAATCAATCGACGAGGCTGTGAAGTTACAAAGACTGAGATGGTTAGGACATGTGTTACGTATGCCTAGTCATCGCCTTCATTGACGGGCAATGTTAGCGGATATAGGGTCAGGCTGGAAAAAAGCTAGTGGAGGTGAAACAAAAACTTGGCACCAGTCAATGAAATTTACAACAGTTAGTCTAAGCCACGTAGGAAGGTGTATACTTCCTGACTGGTTGGGGTCCTCGGGACGGTAAAAATCAATGGTTGGAAACAGTTCGTTGTTACTCCCCCTTTGTCTCACACCTCTGCTTACTGTCTCTATTATGCTTTTCTTGTACTTTCTTCTGTTGCTCTGTGTTCTACATTGAGGGAGTGTGGCGACTTGAACTGCAGCACATCGGTGCAGAGTTCTATGTCGAAAACAGACAGAGACAGACAGACAGCTAACTACAGTCTGCTAACAATAATCTGTTACCCCTAGCAATCGAATACATATCATGCAAAATATAACTCGTAAAACAAGCTTACTCTTATTAACATATAGTGTTCAACATTCCATTAAGGTAAAAATCTTAGTATACGAATAGAACTTGTGCACTGTTGTAGGGTATAATTCCATTATGGGTAAAATTTATTTTGATAGTCTTACAATGTTATACAGTAATATTTACTGATGACGTTTCGAGCACAATTTATTGCTGCTCATAATCATATCAAGGTACTCACGCAACTTTCTAACTTCGTTTATATAATTCCATAATTTTTCATCGCTTGATTTGATTGGTAGTAGTATTTTCCATATTTCCGGTGTGAGTGAGGAGTCATTCCTGTTGCATGTGTTGGGTGTAAACTCGATGAACAAGGATTGAGTAATCAACCTCTCTCTCCGCCTATGTATATTACTTCTTGGAATTTTAACTCTATCCCACCCTATTGTGAGGTTGTATGCTAATGCATGCAGTGCAATCGCTAAGTTTTTTTTCTCTAAAATACTTACCTTCTCGGGGTCAACCATTTTACCTTAGCTAAATTCTTATGTTCTGATAATCTAACTACCCCCGATCTACTAGTTTAACCTATTTAGTTGACTTAGCTCACAGTCATTGCAGGGTATTTTGTAAATTATATTATTTTGTCTAATTGGGTAAACCGACAGGGTTCTTTAACCTACAGAGCTTGTCCTACGTGAGTGAGTTTTTAAATTTAAATGCCACTCTAATTCCTTTTTTTTTATTAAAAATTCTACATTAAGGATCTTAGTATATAAACATATCAATATAAGCATCAAAGATTGATCTGGATTAGTATGTTTATCTATTGAGAATAATTGAAAAATTAATCAGGTATGTTCAAATTATCTGAATAACTAAACTGTCAGAATATGCACATTGTCGGAAGCATGGATATATATTCACTATTTAAGTTATTGGCTGTTTGTTTAAATGCCATAACTGTTATCGTCTTCATTAAGAATGTCTAGACATGTCTAGAATTTGTTTCCATCTTTCAATGACTGCTTCTTTTTTAGTTCAGATAGTCTTTGTTGTAATGTCTTGTATATTCTCCGAAATAATCTCATTAATAACACCTGTATAAATAAGAATCACCCTTATGTATTTATAGTGTTGAATTGAAGTTGACAGATTAACACATCAATGTGTAATAACATAGATAATTTTGTATATCGAATGATGATTAGGTAATATAAGAATTTCAGTGACTTCCAACTGGATCCCATCACTCAGTGATATTAATTTGAGAGATGTTTAACTAGCATTTAAAATCTCTGGATAATAAGTTTCTTCATCCTTGAGATTTGCTCATCATTATACAGAAATTAAGTTGAATGAATTATAGTGTATGGTGATATAGTAACGTGTCCCTAAAAATAGCGTTTCTAGCCTAACATGTGTCACCTGTAGTCATATTAAGATAGTCACACAGTGTATGTATATATTTATGTGACAGTCATAAATAGTGTAGCATCATTCCTGATAAATTTATAAGATGTTGACAAGATCTCCTGGTAGGAATTTTAAATACGTATAATTTGTAGGAGCAGAAGGAATTTATTTTAAAAAAGTATGTAGAAATCACTAGGTTTTTCATTAGATCACCATGATGTCATCAGACTTCTGATATGATAAATGAGACTTCATCTCTAAAGAAGTAAGGGAAAACAGTTCAGCTATGGGACTGCTTTCAGTGAATTCATTCACCTAGCTGTACAATCACAATTACTTGTATATACCACAAGAATAAAACCCAACACTTGAATATCAATGAGGTGCTCACTAGCGACTGGCCCTATTCAGGTAGGTAGCTACCTGGGGTTCTAGTGAGAAGTCGTGACCAGTAGGGTGCACCATGTCGGGTGTGAGGACAAATACTCGCCGAAGACATTCGCTATTGGTCGCGCTATGTCGTGAATTGGCAGAAGTTAGAATTCATGGGCTGGCCACTGGATCGGGTCCCAGGGCTTAATAATATACGAGCTAGCTCGCCTTGTAACCAGAAGGTCCTGGGTTCGAACTTTGGCGGTGGGTGCGTACTGCTGGAGAATCCCAAACTAAGACAAAACAACTGTCCAGTACTTCAAGGTTTTCCAATGGTTCTCTAACCAATGTCAGCTCATGATGAAATCCTATAAACCAATCAAATCCCTACAACCCAACACTTGAAAAAAATTTATTTTGGACTTCTGTTTACATCATCAAATTATTTCAAATCAGTGATGAATTATCTAATTATGACTAGGGAGTGGTGAAGATTAGTAAGTGTAGGCCAAAGTTACATGATATGAATAACGTTCAGAAAAAATTGGATGTGTTTATGAAAGAGCACGAATATAAGTATCAAAATAAATTATGCAGTAGATGAAGAGAGTGTGAACCAAAGGTTAGTTAAGAAAATGATTTTTATAAATGTCATAAGAAAAATTCCAAAAATAGTATGTTGGAATTATACTGAAGATAGATGCAGGAAATGAAGAAGGTTCCTTCTGTGTACAGTTATTAGTGTTCTCCATCCTAATCTCTAAGGCCCCAGAAATACAAAGTATACCGCAGTTAATCGTTTCGGGAGGCCTCTGAATGCATTTTCCTTACATATTGAGTAGCTGATGTTGAATATATGTTCCATTATAGCACTTCTTATTGATCCATTGTCACCTTTGTGTAGCTGTGTGGGATAATTTTACTTGATTCTTTTAGATAATACACTGAATATACGACCTGCATATATCTCTCTACAAGAGCCAGTGTATTGGTATTTACATACAGAAGTGGTCAAAAGCAATAGTTTATCTTTAGAGTTATTTGAGAACATTGGGTGGCAAAATAATAGCAATGTTAGTGTAGAGGTAAAGAATGTTTTTTAGGGCGTTCGATATTGTTTTCTTTAAATCGTCGGCCAGAAAGTCGTCTCTGTACACCATATATACGATCTTCTTCAATGCAGAGATGTGATTTCATTTGTTGGCTTCTGGTTTTCTCTGTCTATCTATAAAGCGTCGGGGTACCCATTTTCAATTGGTGTCTTTCTCAAAAGATTGATCTACCACTGCAGGATTGCAGATGCTTTTGATCCTAGTGACAAGAGATATTACCAAGTTTTGCTTGCAAATTTATGGGTACCCAACTGTAGAAGTTTTTCAGCCGACTATTCCACGTAGGCCTTCTTTATACTGATCAGCCTTCTTTGTTAGGCTGACATCCAGAAAGGAAATTGTCCAGTTTCCCGCTCAGATATTGAATTTGATGGCTTGATGGAATCTGTGAAGAATACAACAACGCTTATTGTCTCCGTATGATGCGTGTCGATGTCGAATACAATAAACCACATACATATTCAAATATCAAGAGCCGTATTTGTGATTCGGCCATTATTCTGAAATTGTGGTCATAGTCAAATGGGTAAAGTGAATTAAGGAAAATTATGAAGATAAAAATTAGTGAATATCAATAACTTAAGGTGAATTATTATTACTAAAATAGAAAGAGATAACGACAATAAGGAACGACACATTCCAGCTTCTCCCTCCTCCAATGATCAAGCTTGTGAAGATTAATTTAGTACACTGTATATTGATTATATTCAAAGCATATCATGAAATATATCAGGTAATGGTGGGTACCGATTGACTATTCTCTACTTTGAGGGATCCCTCAAAATGTATTCAACAAATAAATGGACAGATTATCTCCTCATTATACTAATGAAATAGCTGGATTATAATAGTTACCCTCCTTAAATTCAATAAGTCTGATGGTGCCTGCTTGCAAACATGTGGTAGTTTTAAGTGTTGACTTTTGTGTTTAATATTGTTTACTTCCGTAGAACTCACCAATTTTCTTCAAATCATTCCTCTGTGTAAAATAAGTCTCATAGTTTCAATGACAAACAATTGAGATTTTATTAACTATATTTTTATGATCCAATTGAAACTCCCTTGACGTATTTCAAGTGTTAAAATGCAGTCGCTACAAAGTAGCCGATACATACATCAACCGAATAAACGTAACGAACACTTATGTGCACATCACATGTGAGAGATTGATAGGAAGAGATAAAAAGCTTCTAACAATTCTAATTATCGATAAGTAAGTCATCCGACCAACTGATTGAGGTTCAATGTAGAATTTTCTGGTAAAGTACACCAGTTTAAATTCATACACTTTATGGAACACACACATATACAAATGTATAAACAACGCAATTTAGATAAACTGTAATGAACTGAGATGTTTTCGGGAGAAGAATAATTAAATGGGCAGTAGTAATAATTTAATGAACCTTCCAGTCCGCAAAGTGTGAATGCATCTGTGTTATCATAGACGAGTTTGAGACATGTTACCAGCAGTGTCTTCTCGCCGCTTCCTAATCTCTCGTAGACTTCAGTCAGCTGGTTTACACCCCCCGCCCTTACATTTTGCTAATCCACAGTCAAAGACTTCACGGATAGTTTGATGAACATTAACTCTTTTCCAACCGTATCTTTTGTCACCTAATATTTTACAATGAGAAGGGCGGTGGCTTGGCATATCTAACACGTGCCGCAACTTTGTCTGTCCGTTTAGCTTCTCAAACTAGGCGATTGTCTCACCCTCGTTACCCAAAACACTACGCCTAACCTCAGCATTACCGGCTATATTACCCCACTTAATATTAGAGACAGAACTCAAATGCAAATGGTTAAATACAGTTCACCTTTTTAGGCCTTCCACTTTAATGAGCCACGTCTCAGAGCAATTCGCCTTAGAGAACTGGTCAGTATTTTCATAACCACCAAAGTAGTTTAATTATTTGGTAAGTTTTGAAGGTGGAATTGAAAATATGCTGATGATTCACATATGTGATGTGTTTATCCAAGCTAATTTTTTTATTGAGAAAAACGCTTGTAATTTCATCCGTCTACGAATAATATTCTTCTTCAATTATTACTGTTTCGATATCAGTATCACTGTAAGACTGCATTTAACAATAAGGTGACTTACAATTAACTTGAATATTGCTAATACTCAATATTCTATTTTACTTGTGGTGGGAACAGATAAGGGGGATTGTGAATGCCCACTAAAAATAGGGTGCTCATAATCAATTGGCTAGGGGTCACGGTATGTCGTGAATTGGCAGAAGTCAGAATTCATGGGCCATTGGATGGGGTCCTTGTGGCTTAATGGTATACGGGCTCGCCTTGTAACCAGAAGGTCCTAGGTTCGAACCCTGGTAGTGGGTGCATACTGATGGAGTGCTCCAAACTAGGACGAAACAGCTGTCCAGTACTCCCAGGTTTTTCAATGGTTCTCTAACCAATGTCAGTTCATGATGAAATCCTGTAACCAATCAAACAAATCCCTACAAACCAACACTTAATTAACAATATTTCTTTGGATTGGTAATACTATCGAATATGAACATCTATGTCTCAAACAGTAGACGATTTCTTGATTACCTGCGCTTAGCGATAACAGAGGAAATACGTGCTGGTTGAAAAAGACCATTCAAGACTAATTGAATAGTTTATATGAACTGTGATCAAGATTTGACTGAATAGTTCCAAAATAATTGGGCACCGAGTGAGAAGTTATCATATATTGAACAGTTTTTATAAGACATTTTGCACTGACACGTAACCAATCATAAAATTGAAAATTAGATCAATGCACATGCAAATACTGCGGTCACAAAAATTGCTATGTACAGTTTACACGTATACGTTCAACTACGTGATAAAAAGCTCAAACATCGTTAGATTCAGCAAAAAGATAAAATAATTTATTAGGTTACTAGGTATACTGTACCTAAATAATCACAAATATAAGACACAGACATTGACTATTGACGAGGTATTTGGTTTTATGCATCACAGTTAATCTGAATAACATGAATTTATTCACTCCTAACCTTTTGATAAATAGGAAAATTCTTTTTAAATTAATTTCATATATTTTTTTTCAAAATATTCATTGATTCATTGCCCTTACGTCTTTACCTCTTTACAATTATTGACATGCTCTATTTCTTCTCCTTTGAGCTAGGCACTTATTGCTCTTGCATCATCCTATTGTGATATGATGAGAGAGAAAGTTTGAAATAAGTTGAATGTATACTGAGATTCAAGTTCACTGTATTGATTCGCCTCAGTGACTTTATCAAATTACTTTGTCATAGTCAAAAGTGTTCTTAATTGATTCACTGTAATTCCCCTGTATCTACAGCATATTCATTCATTACGATACAAATAACTGTTACAATCATCATTTAATAACCATAGTTATATTTTCATTTTTATTTTTTTCTACTTTTTTATGTTTTGATTATTTTTGTTGCACAGACGGAAAAAATCATTTTCAAGTGGATTAGATAGTCAATCGAGTACACCAGCTGTCAGTCCATTAGGCTCACCACTTTCTCTTCAACGCGTTCACTACAGGCCAGTTGGTTGTGAAAGTTTAGAAAATGCACATCCTGGTCATGTGTCTATTTCAGTACCACAATCCTCACGCCCACAAACAGTATGTTCTGTAGCTTATACAAGCTCAAATGATCCACGTTTAATCGTACCACCACCAACGACAACAACACCAACAACAACGACAATTAATACTTCTACAGATAATGGTGCCAGTACTACGAAAACTTCATCAAACCATTTACCAACAAATATTACTAGTGTACCATCTAGTTCTCCTCATGGGATTACTACTAACTCGTCGCTCAGTGGTCAACCATCTCAAATTCCATTGCCACCACCACCACAACAACAACACCATCCAAATCTAAATATATACTATTTTGGGAGCATTCCACATATTGGTCATCGACCTCAGCATTTTCTTCATCCATCAATGACACCTATTCCTGTTGCTACAACACTAGCACCACCACCGCATTTTGTACCTCCGTTCCATTTACTTCCTCATCTTCACCCTCATTCATTTACACCTGGACCTTATTTTATACCACCGATTCCACCGTTTTCAAGTGGCAATGGCGGTGGATCTTCTGTTATGTCACCTCCGCCTAACGTTGCTATGCCTACAAACAACAATAATATGGGGCAGTTACCAGTGCTTAATGAAGTTTCATCTACTTTTGATCATCATAATCTATCAATGAATCTGAATGAAATTTCATCCACTTCCTCTTCAATTCCAATTTCTTCTTCTTCTGTCTCAGGAATTACTACAGATTGTAATTCCAGTTCTAATATACCTATGAAATCAAATCAAATGACAGGCAATGGAATTAGTAGTATAACAAATGTAACAACATCAAGTGTCTCAACAACAACAACAACACTAACATCAGTAACTACACCAACAGTATCTACCAATAATCTTAATCATTACTCAGAAGAACAATCAACTGATAAACAATTGAGTAAAGTAAGTTGGTTGTTTGGTCATTTCCTGTTATTTATATTGTGGTGCCTGTTCAATTTCTAAGTTTTGTTTTCGAATGACATTTTAAGGTTTTGAATTCTTGTCAATTGTACATTTACTGGTACTGTGATTACTGCTCATTTCGTTTCAGTACAACCATTACTAAGCATTTCACTTTTTTGTTTAGTGTATTGCAATTATTGGATTATCTGTACTGAATAGTTACCTGATCTTTTCATATCCATCATGTGACTGAAAAAATAACTCTTTCTTAGCTTCTGATTGTGTTTAAAGATAATTTCTGTCAGTGCTACTTTCCTCAAGCATGAGTGTAGAATGCAATAGTATCTTTGGCACTTATATACACATAAAAATAGTGAAAACGTCTGAATGTTTATACACTTAATGGTACACCTAAGTAGACGAAGGAGTTGAAATCTATGCATACCTGGATGGTGTGTTTTTAAAGTCATCTGTAGTGTCACGCTAATTACATACTGTGATCTAAACATTTTAGATTTTCAAATTAAGCCTAAAAAGAACTTCGCCTTTCAACTGTGTATTTTTCAAGTATTCAACTTCATAATACCATGAATTTTACAATAATTATGGTTTCAATAAGTCTAAATTTTCAAACAAAGAAATTGTTTTAACTTTTTTTCCATTAGTGATAACGAATTTAGGTGTGAAACTAAGTGGGGTTAGTGTATTAGTGTGCAAGTTTTTCTAAGTATTCTTAATGAGGATTTCACTGTAACTGTTGAATTAGTGAGTTTTTGATATAATCATCAGCTGACTAATTCCAAGCTAACGGTGTCTTATGTGCTTCTGTTACTCTCACAAATATGATAGAGAAGATTTGTAGCTCAGGTGGATGATTTTGATGTGGTTGTGTTCTCTGAGCTGGATAGTTGATTGGGGAAGCCTTCATCACTCTACTGGGTGAACCAGAGAACACAACCACATCAAAACTCTCACAAATGTATTACGATTACTGAATATACGGGTCAAATATCACGAACCCTGTTTGCAAGTCAATCCGTCTTAAAGTTACTCAATTAAATTCGACATAAAAACGTAATATTGAATATGTGACAGGATAAATACACGTTGTAACGAACAGAACTGTTGTCTACTGTCTAATACACACGTATTAGTAAACTATTTAATGATGTTTTAATGCACCACTAGAACAAGAATAGTTCAAACTACATTAATTTCAACGCCTGGTAGATAAAGTCTTATTGTAATAGAACAGTAGTAGTGATAGCTACATTCTGAAAACTCATTAATGCATATAACAAAGTATTTATATTGATTCTTCAAGTAAACTAACTAACATATCATTTGAAGCAATACTGCTATATGAAAAGCGCGCTGTAATAACCTGCTATTCTTTTCCTTCATTTCCTTCGAAAAATCGATACTAGTAAGTTGAAGTCCACCGTGAAATAGGCAGGAGTATAAATTCCAGTTCAAGGATGTGATTGGATAATTAAAATAACATCAAATAGAGTAAATAAGGTGTATTTGCATGAATTGAAAATATAGCATTCCAGTAACTTAAGGAGGCCATTAAGTAAGTGAAGCGATCACGTGACTGACTTATTACAGGGAGTATTTTATGAAGCATTTTAGTATTAAACTTATCAGTATATAATGTGACACTTATGCGCAAGTAGAGTATTTCTCCTATTTTTAAGCCATGTTTCCCAACTTCAGTCACCATCATTTACAGACTTATCCTAACCTCTGTCTGTCTGTTTTCGACATAGAACTTTGCACATATGTGCCCCAGTTAAAGTCGCCACACTCCCTCAATGTAGAACACAAAGCAACAGAAGAAAGTACAAGAAAAGCAAAATAGAGACAGTAAGCAGAGGTGTGAGACAAAGGAGGAGTAATAATGGAGAACAAAACAGTTCCATTGAAAATCATAAGTCACAAGGAGTGGATGCATCTGCGCCAGCCATTGAGAACGATTTTGAGCCATGTCACCAATTGTTTCCAACCATTGATTTTTACCGTCCCGAGGACCCCAACCAGGAAGCCAGTCTACACCTTCCTACGTGGCTTAGACTAACTGTTGTAGATTTCATTGACTGGTGCCATGTTTTTGTTTGACCGCCGTTAGCTTTTTTCCAGCCTGACCCTATATCCGCTAACATTGCCCGTCAATGAAGGGGATGACTAGGCATAAGTAACACATGTCCTAACCATCTCAGTCTTTGTAACTTCACAACTTCGTCGATTGATTTCCCCTGTTTACCTAGAACTCGACGCCTAACCTCAATATTGCTCAGCTTATTATGCCACTTCACACGGGAGATAGAACGCAGGCACCTATGATCAAAGACAGCTAGTCTTTTCATGTCTTCCACTCTCAGTGGCCAGGTCTCATAGCCATAAAGGCTTATCCTAACCTAAATAATATCTATAACAAAAATAACATCTCTCTTCAGGGTGTTTTCGTTCTGAACTTATAATTGTATTAGTTTGCAAGACCCAGCTACCTAGCTCATACTTCTGATAAATTATTACAATGCAGAAGTGAAATTCTCATCTTCAACTACCAGCATACTTTATTTCAGCGTGGTAACACGAGTCAGACATAGTTGTATCAGACACTCTATTTTAGCCCTTTTCTAGTCATTCCAAGTTACAATAAGTTGAAAAGAATAATTTACGTTCTAAAACATTAGAAGTGGCCTGCTTACAAAACTTTTGTCCACTCTAAAACTAAATCTCCATTACAGTGATATCAACAGACAAATAAAAGTACAGTTGACTCCAAAAGTTTATCAGTTCAGCTTAAAGAGAGATAAAAATAAACTAACAGAAATGGAAGTGATATTGTAAGATCTAAAATGACGACCAAATAAATCAAAATTCGATGGGATTGCCTTGGTTAACTTATATACGATAAGCAGTAAATACGTTTGTATTTTTTGTTGTTTTTTTTTCCACATAGTATCATCTCGAACCATTTAATTTTATGACGTCAAGTTGTCTAGATAAACAGTATGCTTATATAATCCAGTCAGGTCACTGGTCTATAACTTTATAGACTAAAGTTATTATCCCAGTGTATTTGTAATAATTATTTATTGGATATGTGTACCTCTGTACCCCTCAATAGGGCATTCATCAGCGTACTTAGTACTTAAATTTATCACTTAATATGTGTTCATAGCCTATAGACTGGTGTGTTTTCATTATCTCAGGCAGTGCATTCACTTTCCACACTATTCAATGACCATAGTAAAAATAAATGCGCTTCAGAAACTACAGAGAATCAGCAGTAATATTATTTTTTTTTTTAAATATTTTTATTGTTTTCAATGAAAGCATCTTACAAACATAAAGCGTAATGGATCAAGTCGATTTAGAGCTCAGTCATGCTTTGTCAGGCAGTCAGATTATTATTATTCCCTTGGGTTACTAGTGGAACATAGCGCTTCAACTCCACGTCTCCACTCGCTTCTGTCTTTTGCTGTACTTTTCACCTGCATCCATGTTAGTCCATACTCTTTCAACTCTTCTTCACACGATTTTCTCCATATCACCCTTGCACTGACGTCCCACTCGCCGCTTCCCTTTTGGGTTCCACTCAAGTGATGGCCTGACGCGCGATGTCACCCAGCAGCCTCCTCAGCGAGTGAGTGTCCAATCCATCTCCACTTTCTCCTGCATATTTGTTGGTTGGGCGATGGGTTCTTGTTTTGTTTGTTCCCATAATTCCTCGTTGGTGATTCTTTCCGGCCCGGCCATCTGATCTTCAGTATAGAGCCAGCGAAGACAGTTGTTAATAAAGGTCTGCAACCTTTTGGAAATATTCTTTGTGACCCGCCCGCCAAGTTTCTGATCCGTATAGAAAGAAGAACTGACTGACTTAACGTTTGTATTGAAAACCCGACCGAATTTTGTTGTTGATGCTGGCTGAGTGACGAAGATTTCCAGATTCGTTTCAGTTGGTTGATGAATGTGTTTCTCGCCTTCCCGATTCTCGCTCGATTTGACATCCTCGTCTGTTCCGACTGCGTCTAGTTGAGACAATGCTCCCTAGATAAGTAATGGATGAAGTAACCTCTTTCAAATCCCTCCCGTTGATGGTGATTGGCGGTGGATGTTGCTGTTGTTGGTGGTGGTGGTTGATTATTTTCATAACCTCCGTCTTGTCTGTGTTCACTTGGAGTCCTGTCTTTGCTGCTTCTTCGACTAGTTTGTCGGTTTTCGCTTGTAAGTCTTCGATCGCCTGAATTACTAGCTCGCTAGTTTTCTAGCCTCGCCTAGACTACCAGCTTGCTAGTTTTCTAGCTGGTCCCAAGCCCGGATAAAGAGAGAGGGTTGGGGCGTGGTGCTAGCAACTGCACCCCCAAAACTCAGCCAAACCGCTACAGAAACTTCAATGCACCAGGCAGTCAGATGGTTTATATTAATGGATACTTGAGAAACTTAGTTATCATTAACTAGACTGTTAAGAGTAATATTACTGTTATTATTGTTCACTCCTTGCATCCTGAGGTAAATATGGTGTGGTACATTTGCACATTTCCATTTCAGTCGTTTTTTCCCACCAGTTTCATTTGTCTCCACAACTACTCACAAACTTAGTCTGTCTGTCTCTGTCTGGATTCAACATAGAACTTCGCACCAAAGTGCAGCAGTTCCAGTTGCCACGTTCCAAATAGCACACAAAGGTAGACAGGAAGATGAGTAAAGAGAATCAATAAAGTTTGACAAGCATAAGAGTGAAACAGAATGGGTAATGATAGAAAGAAAGAGACTGAAAGAAAGAGACATCTGCGCCATTGACAACGATTTTGAGCCATGTCACCTATTGTCTCCAGCCTTTGATTCCTAGAGTTCCGAGGGCCTCAACCCGGAAGTCTGCATCTCCCCAACTGACTGACTCAGTTTAACTGTCAGGAATTTCATGGATTGATGAGGCGATGTTTTTGTTTGGCCACCACTTACTCTTTTCCAACCTGCACCTATATCAG